TGTAGTTGAATTCAACACGTTTTGTAACCCTGCAGCGTTCGTCATCTACAACTTCCTGAGTCTGTGTTACGAGTATCTGGGAGGAGAGAGCGCCATCATGGCGGAGATCCGAGGGAAACCCATCGAGTAGGTTTACTTCATCCCCTCACATCCTGTTGGTTCAAATGACCTGCAGATGTTTTTAACCCCGCCCCCTCTGACCTGCTGATAGGTCCAGCTGTGTGTACGGGACGTGCTGCCTGTGGGGGAAGACGTACTCCATCGGCTTCCTCAGATTCTGTAAACAGGTACCGCTCAGACCCGGTTCTGAAGGACGATGAATATTAATACTTCATGTTTTAAATATTCAAAAAGAAAACAAACTCCGCCCCCTTTTCCTTCCTCAGGCCACGCTGCAGTTCTGCGTGGTCAAACCTGTGATGGCGGTCATCACGGTCGTCCTTCAGGCCTTCGGGAAATACAGAGACGGAGACTTCAAGTACGTTTCCATGACGACCAACCAGCTGATACTCAGAGCATGCCGGGGTTGTCACGACAACGCATTTTCAACTTTGATTTGATGCTAGTGTAAAAACCCGTCTGTCACCATGGCAACAAGTGTTTGTCTGTGCGTTCGTGCGTTTTGAATCAAAAACATGACTCGCCACACTAGTTGTCTATGTTGTTGCCGTGGTAACAAACAGGTGTCTGTGTTGTTTGTGCTTCCTCTTTGTCTCGTTCAGCGTGGCGAGCGGTTACCTGTACGCCACCATCATCTACAACATCTCCGTCAGCCTCTCGCTCTACGCTCTCTTCCTCTTCTACTTCGCCACTCGTGAGCTGCTCGTCCCGTACAACCCCGTGCTCAAGTTCTTCATGGTCAAGTCCGTCATCTTCCTCTCCTTCTGGCAGGGTAAGAAAACACAGAAACAGCGTTCTCGAGATGTTGACTCTCGTCTTTGTGGCGACTTGTTTTGAACGTTACGTACAAACAGGTGACTTACTGTTCTGTGTCTCAGGGATGCTGCTGGCCATCCTCGAGAAGTGCGGCGCCATCCCTCAGATCACCTCGGCCGACTTCTCAGTGGGCGAGGGAACGGTTGCTGCCGGTTACCAAAACTTCATCATCTGCATCGAGATGTTCTTTGCTGCTGTCGCTTTACGCCACGCCTTCACCTACAAGGTGTACATGGACAAGAGACTGGACTCCTATGGTGAGGGAGGGGGGGGGGATTTCCTGCAGTCTGATTGGATGAACTGATTGATTTCTCTTTTCCTCTGAGCTGTTTCTTTATTTTCATCTTTAACTTTCTATTACCCTCTGTCTCTCTCTCTGTCTCTCTCTCTCTCTGTCTCTCTCTCTGTCTCTCTCTCTCTCTGTCTCTCTCTCTCTCTGTCTCTCTCTCTCTCTGTCTCTCTCTCTCTGTCTCTCTCTCTCTCGTCTCTCTCTCTCTGTCTTCTCTCTCTCTGTCTCTCTCTCTCTCTCTGTCTCTCTCTGTCTCTGTCTCTCTCTGTCTCTCTCTCTCTCTCTCTCTCTGTCTCTCTCTCTGTCTCTCTCTCTCTCTTCTGTCTCTCTCTCTCTCTGTCTCTCTCTCTCTCTGTCTCTCTCTCTCTGTCTCTCTCTCTCTGTCTCTCTCTCTCTCTGTCTCTCTCTCTCTGTCTCTCTCTCTGTCTCTCTCTCTCTCTGTCTCTCTCTCTCTGTCTCTCTCTCTGTCTCTCTCTCTCTCTGTCTCTCTCTCTCTCTGTCTCTCTCTCTCTGTCTCTCTCTCTCTGTCTCTCTCTCTCTCTCGTCTCTCTCTGTCTCTGTCTCTCTCTGTCTCTCTCTCTCTCTGTCTCTCTCTGTCTCTGTCTCTCTCTGTCTCTCTCTCTCTGTCTCTCTCTCTCTCTGTCTCTCTCTCTCTCTGTCTCTCTCTCTCTCTGTCTCTCTCTCTCTGTCTCTCTCTCTCCCTCTCTCTCTCTCTCGCCCCCACCTCCCCCTCTCTCTCTTCTCTGTGCTGCTGAAAGGTTCTTTTCCGATCTATGGACAGTACGGTAGGTTTGATATCAGCTTTGATATCGATGTTTCTCTCTTTTTGTTTGCACGCTGTGATTCTGTTTCTTTCTCCTGGTTCAGTTTGTGTTCGTAATAAACCCTGTTGGATATTTCTGAATGTGATGGGGGTGGAGCTTAGTGACAGCAGTCTGAGAAGGGCTTCAGTTTCTGTGTGTTTTCTGATTGATCTAACCCCCCCCCCACCCCCAGGCCGCTGCGCCCCCATGAAGAGCATCTCTAGCAGCCTGAAGGAGACCATGAATCCAGGAGACATGGTCCAAGACGCCATCCATAACTTCTCCCCGGCCTATCAGCAGTACACCCAGCAGTCCACTCTGGAGCGAGGAGGAGGACCGCCGCTGTCCCGCAGCCACAGCAACCTGAGCGCCCGGGGGGGCGACAACGAAAAGACCCTGCTGCTCAGCTCTGACGACGAGTTCTGAAACTCGCTCAGAGGCATCAACGCCGCTTTCCTTTTTCTTATTTTCAGAGTTTAGAGGCGGTCTGATTCCCTGAGGACGCACAGAGAGACGCCTCCACAGTCAGGGGAGAATTTAACCCTTTACATGCTCTGTGAACTAAACGTTCACACACTGCGCCGTCCTTCAGGGAATCAGACCCGAGAGAGAGAAACTAAAAGTGCCATTTCCATCAGAAACACGTTCAGAGCGTTCAGACCTTCATCGTCCTCTTCACCTTCTGACTCCGCCTCTCAGTCAAACGTTGCCAAACGACGCCAACAGAAGCTGCTCTGGCGTCCACGACCCTCGCTGTCTTAACAGATTTATAGTCACAAAAAGCCTTTATATTGTTGGGCTCCATTTTAATATATAAGAATGAAATCACATGTTTTTATATGTCGTATGACCTCGAAGGTCAAACTCGTTCAAACAGTCGTTTGTTGATCCAGAGATGTTTTAAATATTCTGTGTTGGTTTTAATAGTTTTAAAGAGACTGAAGGAGAGTGTTCTCCTGACACAGATTACTGACGAAGCAACACTGTCCTGCAGAGCGTGGCGAGCCAGCTGTGGAGTGTAATCCCATAATTAAAGGCGTCACATGGAGCACAGACCGGCCTCATCGTGAGTCATGGTGGTCTTTACAGACGCACAGGGTCATGTAGAGGCTTTAAATGAGACCGCTGTCACATCTGAGAAGAGAATACACCGACCACTGGAGGCCGTCATCATCCCAGAATTTACAACTTCACTTTGATTCTAGTCGAACTTAAAGCAGCAGTCTGTAACTCTGACCCCTAGTGTTTAAAATGGGTACTGCAGTCCAGATTCTAAACATCATATAGAGCTGTCTCCCCCCCCCCCCTCTCTAGAGTGGATGCTCACTCAGGTCACCATGTGGTGGACTCTGAAGCTTCAGTGTTTATCCAGCTCTGCATGGGTCTGTAAACCTTTCTGTGTTCTAACCTCTCTCCATTTTTCAAAAGCATCTCCAATATTGATCCTAGTTTGAGCACGTTTCTGCTCGTGGAGCTTATTAGAAACATGCAGAGGCTTTTTAGGTCGGGTACAATCACTTCTATCTGAACCACTTCTCTTGACCGCTTCCATCACTGCAACACCTGTTGACCTGATAACTGCTCTCATATCTGACAAACCGAGGGGCGTCCAAAACGGCCGTGTGGGGGCGTGTCTTAAAAGCGCCTACCTTCTCTGGTCCAAACAAATCCAGAGCATTCAGGAGCAGAATCTAAAGTTAGAAGGAGGACATACTGGCTGCTGCATTGTTGTCAGAGAAGCCAGCACTTCAACATAGCATGTTTCCTTAATGATCAGAGAGTAAGATACCTTTATCATCTCACTGATTGGACCTTTAAAGAAGATTTAGATTCTGTGAGATGTGAAGACCGGCTGAATATTTAAGAAGCAGGAAACATGATCACAGAAAATAAAGAATGTAAATAAAGTTGAAGCTTGTTTAGTGCTCAGATATTTTAATCCTCTGATTTATTTCTGTTGTGTACCTTTTAATTTGTGTATTGGTAATATTATCTCATGTTTTTTGATGCTCTTGATTTTTATTGGTGTTTAAAAGTAAATAAAAGACAAATGCAGGAACACGTCTGCTTTTATTACAAACACTCACTTTTACACTCAGAAACCCTGAAGAGAGCGGGTACCCTGACCCCTGACCCCTAACCCTGAACTACTAATACAAACGAAATACTAAAAAACATCTCCAGCGTCATCAGACTGAAACAACATTTCACTGCTGATGGTTGTTTTAACATATGAAATAACACTAAAGCGTCACCATGTTTTTTTAAAGGGGGGGTTCAGGGGTCCTCAAAGTGCTCTCCAGTTCAGCCGAACAGGCTGGTCTTTGGATCTGGATCAAGAGGAGAGATGCTACCTGGGTCACCCAGACCTAACTTCTTCATCCACCCCTTTCATCCTCTTCAGTTCATGATAATCAAATTTAATTGATTTTATTTCCATGTTAAAATGCTGCCAAGACTACAAACATCCTTTATGCAGGAAATCAAATGAAATCGTGTATAAAAAACACATAAAAAGAATTATGTCAATCATAATTGGGGGCAGGGTTTAAAAAAGCTGCCAGCCAATCACAGTAGTTAACACTTTGGCTGAGCATCAACAACAACAACATAGCATTAAGCTAGCTTCCTGTTCCTGAAGTTTGAGTGAGAGCGCGCTGTCTGCAGCGTGAAGCGTCTCCCACGCGTCCTGGAAAATGAGAGAAAAGCTTCGAAACATCGTTTTGGTTTTTTGTTGACCTTTAACCTTCGTTCAGATCTGATGGAGGAAACGTTTGAAGCTTTTCAAAGTAAGAGCCTCAGAAACCCGTTTCCTGTTCTATCAGCTGTGACGTTCTAAATGTGGCGTCCTTTCTACCGTTTGTTAATAAAACCGTCTAACCTGCGACTGTACCTGTGGCGTGATTGACTCTGACATCATGGCGGTTTGAGACGGTCGTTGATCACCTGTGGGCGGAGAAAAAGATCAACAAACGCACGACTTCAGGTCACCAAGAAAAAACTCTTTATTACCCTTCAGAATCTGTCACCATGGTTACGCTCACACGACGCCTCACGGGTATGTACACAGGAAGTGAGGAATGTGGCGTGTCGGGAGGTCGTTCAGCTGACGGCATGCGGCGCCGACTGAACCAACGAGTTCCACGTGTTCCGTTAGCATATTCACCCAATCAATGACAAACGAGCAAAAGAAAAGAAGATAAACGCCACTTTGAATATCTGAAGGTTATAATCTACGACGACCTGCGAACACGTAACGAAGAGAACAAAGAAGATCCATCCAAACTGCGAAGAGGCACAACCGGCAGGTAACCACGACGATGATGTCAGAGCGGGAAAAACAAAAACTGCAAATGAAGACGTGGTCGTTACAGAGAGAGAGAGAGCAGCCAATCAGAGAGCAGACAACACAGGAAGAGGATGAGTCCCCGTAACGTTAGAGTCTCTCTGTGCAGACGTGAAGGGAAACAGATCCTCATCACGCCGCTGCACGCCGTCTGTCCGGCTGCAGCGGCGTGATGAGACATTTAAAGCAGCACGCACACGTTACGGTGACAGATCAGAATCCAAAGTAAAGAAAGTCCAAAGTGATTCAAAGGAAGAAGGCGTGTCATGGCGTGGAGTGGCGTTCAGTCCGTCACGCCGCCCGTGTGTCTCTGCTATAGACTCGCCCACGTCTCCGGAGGAGGAAACTGTTCTAGACTGCCGCCCTCGCTGTGCTCCTGCTCGCCCATCGTGAACGATAAACGATACTCCAGCTCCACCTTCTCCTGGAAGAAACAACACGAGAGGACGAGAGGGGGAGGAGTTACAGAGAAAACTACAAAAACTACAAACACAAGAACACAGTTTACTGTAAAACCAGAATATCAGTTCATAAATCCAGTCCGTGTTCGGGGGTCTCCTGAGAGCTCAGCGTCAATCTGTCAGTACCGTCAGTCACCACCAGGTGGCGTTAGGACTCTAAACTTTATTTACTGTTTGCTTTAAATATGGCGCCTCTTCGTCCGTGGTGACGGCGTGGAGACTGACCTTGTCGGGGTTGGCGAGCAGCAGGATCTGAGTGACTGCAGCAGGAGGGAGGACGGGGTTGAAGGCCGGGAGCTCGGATCCTGACGGAGGCTGCAGCTTCACCGCCATCGACTAACGAGAGAAGACGAGAAGAGAGGGAGGTTTTACTGACAGCTGATTGGCTGAAAGGAACAACACGTCTGAAAGGTGACCTCTGCTGACCTTTGGCGGCGTCGTCTGGAAGCTGATGTTGGTGACGGGGACGGGCGCCGACGACAGCATGGAGATGATCACGACCAGCACGTCAGGGCGTGACGGAGGAGAGTGGCGTGCAAAGTGAAAGAGAACGCGCAGACTGTGACCGTCAAACACGGTGACAGGTGAGAGGTTACCTGGAGACACAGAAACCACAGCGTGACCATCAGACCCGCCCGGCGTGCAGGATCACGGTCTGGTTCTTACTTACTGGGTTTGATGGATTCTAGGGGGACAAAGACATCGGTCAGCGTGACCTCTGCGGCGGACGCTTCGCAGCGAGTCGGGGACGCGTCGAGCAGCGTCGCTCCGAGGGGAACAGGGGGGTCAAACGGCGGGATGGGGATGGGGGTAACGTTAGACCCGGACTTGCTCTGCAGGTCTCTCAGAGTCGGTTTGGTCTGCTGCTTGTCCCTAAAACAGAAACAAGAAACAAGTTGTTTTACAGCCGACATGTCACATGAGGTACGGTGGCCCTGAAAGTCAAAAATATAAAA